TAATGAAGGATGCTCAGAACTCAGAAGAACGTGCTTACGACAGGAAGTTTCCACGTGGGACTGACTGGGCTAGCTCCATGACATCAGTGGCTGCGGTGGAGAGTTGTATGTTGGGAGATTTAATACAGCTGAGGGGTAACAGGATGGAACTCAAGAAGGAAGCAAAGGGAAGTCTCTGTTCTAGGAGTAAAAACAGTCTTGGCTCCAGTGTCCTGCATCCAGCCCCAGCCTATGACAGTTCTGAAGTGAGTTTTTTCTTTCCTTAAGATGTTCTCCTATTAAAATGTAGTTGTCCCCCGGTGGGTGATGTTAAACCTTGTCAGCTATTAATATATTGTCGTGCTTAGATACTTGGCAAGCAACAGCTTTCTGACAGCTGCTTGCAGAAAAAGACAGATGATGAGCATGTTTTGATTGGGGGCAAGAATTATGGAAGAGGTTCAGAGGTGGGGCAGGAGCAGAATTACCATAAGATCTGGCAATTCTGCTTCTGGGTGTGTAGCTGAGAATTGGAAGCAGAAGCTCAAACAGATACGTGTATGATCATGTTCCTAGTGATTCATAGTAGCCAAAGGGTGGAAGCAACACAAATGCCCACTGGTCGATGGAGAAGTAAATAAAATGTTTTCTACACATGTTAGAATATTATTCAGCCTTGGGAGATGGCTCAGTGGGTAAAAATGCTTGCTGTGCAAACAAGAGGACATGAATTTGAATTCCCAGAACCTATTAATAACTGAGCATGGCCACTCATGCCTGTAACCTCAGCATGGGGTAGAAGGCATTAAGAGACAGGCAGATCCCAGGAGCTTCCTGGCTGGGCAGGCAGCCTAGCCAAAATAGCAAGCTTTATGTTCAGGGAGAGACCCTGTCTCAAAAATAAAGCGAGTAGCAATAGAAGACAAAACCTGGAGTCTTCTGACTTCCTCTTGTGCAGGTTATGCATATACGTACATACTTGTAGACATACACCATGCACATGCAAAATAATACTCATTCTTAAATGGGAAGAAAACTCTGACATAGGCTTCAGTGGATGGACGCTGTTCTCTAACCCAACAAAGGTTATAGAGAACAGCTGCACATATCCAAGTACCTAGTGTATGGGCTTATTATTTAACAATACAACAGAAATTTATAAAATGATATGTTCATACCTTCTTTGGACATCAGCCCCACTTTCTCTATATACAGAACCGGAAGTTGTTACAGGAGAGGAGTCACTCTGTCCATCTGGGTGACATTGTGGTGCAACATATACATAGTACAGGCTCATGGTGTCCTTGGAACTCACTTTGTAGGCGAGGTTGGCCTCAGGTTCACACATCCTCTGTCCTCTGCTCCCTAGTGCTGGATTTGGAATACTGGTTGTTAGCTACTACGTGGGGTACAGTGTGCTTATCAAGAACAAGCTAGTGAGTCTGCTCTAAATAAAATGAAACTGAGTGTTCTCAGTGGTAACTCCAGCTTCAGGATATCTGATGCCCTCTTCTGGCTTCCTCAAATACCAGATCCCATCTCTCATGCACAGACACACATATAGACATAATTAAAAATGAGTGAAGAAGGCAACTTTTCCAGTCTACTTTGGTTTTTGAAGTTGTCTTTTTATTTCTAAGTTCATCTCTTCTTCCCTCCCTCCTCTAAATCAGCTTTCTCCTTTTTGTTATAATTAATAATAACTTTCTCAAAAGAGTCCTAATCTACTAATTTTAAAAATTGTTATTCTATTAGTTTGTGTCTGTATACATGACTGTGCATGTGTCATTGCACACATGTGGAGGCCCAAGGACAGTTCATGGGAATTTGTGCTTTTCCTGGATCATGTGAGTCTCAGGGATCACACTCAGGCCATCACACTTGGTGGCAAGTGCCTTTACCTGCTGACCCATGTGGCCTCAGATTCTGTGGCCACAATTACACTATTTTTATGTGTCTTAGTCCACTTTCTGTTCTGTAACAAAATCCCTGAGGTTGGTACTTGACAAAGATGATTATGTATTTTTAGCGCCTGTGAAGGCCTGGTTTGATGAGTGGCTTCCTCACAGTGCCATGTATGAGAAAAATCTCCTGGGAAGGCTCAGGAGCCAGTATTGCTCTTTTTAGAGTAACTAACTCTAAGAACTAGCAAACACGCTTTGTGAGACCAGCAAGCTTCCTAGAACATTACCCAGTCCCACCCTCCCCCTTCCCCTGCCCCCATGGTCCACGGGCACTCCTAGAGGTTCTATAAGCATTGCAGCGCTTGGATGGAAATTCTGGCAATGGGGAGCCATGGAATACCACAGGTCTCAGCAAATGTAGCGTCTTAGAGTCCTGCTCCAGGGAAAAGCTTCCCAGGTGTATCAGCCCTGTGAAGTTGTTACAGTTCCGCTTGGCTCCTGTCCCCCAGAGTGTAATGTAACAACTCTGCTAGGGGAAGATTTCCCCTACGAAAATTGTTACAGTTCTGCTCCACTTCTCTCTGTTCTCGCTCCAGGGAAAAGTTGTTACTTCTCTCCTCTGCTCCATTCCGGCTAAGTAAGGTCTCACCCAAACCTCATTCAAGAGATTTATTGGAAGGGAAGAATCCGGGAGAGTGGCTGCCTCTGCCAGGGTGGAAGGAGACAGCCCAACAGCCACAGGCTGAACAGGCGCAGGGTTTATATAGGGCTTCTTAGGGGCAGAGTTTTTCCAGAGAGATTTCCAGGGTAGGGATTGGTCAGATTCAGTCCCTGAGCTCAGATTGGCTAGATCTTGTGCTCAGGGATTGGTTGGTTTTCTGTTAGGGGTTAGGGTCAGATTTGGCTCTGATTTCAGGGCCAAAGTGTGTTTCTTTCACTGTTCCTTTTTTAGACTCTTGGCTCTAATTTTAGGGCCAGGGTGTATTTCTTTCACTGGCTCTGACAAAGTGTGTATCTTTGGCACTAGTTTCAAGGTCAAGGTGCATTTCTTTGGCTCTGGTTGTAGGGCCAAAGTATTTCTTTGGCTTTGCTCAGGGTGTTTCTTTGGCTCGCCTTTTTTCCCTACAGGTTCTATCACCTCACCAAGCACCATATTGCCTGAACCAGCACATCTGCTAATTTTCAAGTCCATCGATCATTGAGCATAAATACTGTTGTACTCTTATGTTGCAAAAGTAAAACACAGGCCACATAGATAACATATTTTTATAACTCAGAACCACGTGGGATTCACCTTTTATCTTCTTTTCTTTGTGTGCGTTTGACCAGTGATCAAATTTAGCTTTAGCATGTTCTTTGTTTTTGTGTGTTTGGGTATTGTGTGCGTGTATGTACACATGTGCAGGTGCTCACACCTGTGAGTGTGGAGGTCAGAGGTGCATGTTGGGTATCCTGCTCTCTCCCATTTCACCTTTCTAGACAAGATCTCTCTGATCCTGGAGCTAGGCTGGTGGCCAGCAAGCCCCAGGAACCCTCCTGTCTCTATCCCTACAATACTGGAGCTACAGGCATGCCACACTTTTTACATGGGATCTGGGGATTTGAACTCAGATCCTCAGGCTTGTATAGCAAGTGCTCTTAACCTGATGAGCCATATTCCCAGTGACTTTAGCATTTTCTAATACCTGTCTTTTTATATCCATTTAATGGCTAGGTTCTTTATTGCTTGTTTCAGCCGCACAGATTCTTGACCCCTCCTCTAATTTTACTTATCATAAATTAACATTTGACTTTCTTATTCCAGTGGTCAGAGAAATGAAGTACTCTCTGCCACTAGCACTCCTTCTCGCCTAGGAAGATCACACAATGCTCAATGTATGTTAGGCAGTTATTTTCCTGGTTACTCATGTTTTCTGTTAGATGTGAAAGTTTCCTAGGGTCTGGATTCTGCCAAAGTTAAGTTTTCAGAGCCCCCTGCCTTAACCAGGTACTGCAGTACAGGAAAAGTATGTGTAACTTCCAGTGAACAACTTGCTTTATAGTAAGTGAGTAATTCTGGGAACTTTAAATCTCTTGAAATTCTGTAACACATTAGGTGGGTTGCTCACTCTTTACTTCCCATGTTAACGATGAACACAGAGAGGAGAATGGTCGTTTGCTTCCCATGACAGTTTCTTGGAAAAAAAGATGTATACAGTGTGGGACCACAGAAGGCTTTCCCTGGCAAGGAACTGTAGCTGCATGCTGACCCACATAAACTCACTCGGTTTTACCTCTGTCTATCTCACTTTTCTGAGGACCAGCAACAGGCTCTTCACAGAGCAGGCATTGTCCATCATCTAGTGGCTGGGAGAGTCTGCTTGGGTAGCTAGAAGCCTTCTGTTTTCCACTGTGGTCTTAACCTTAGTCTAGAACCCTGCCTCTCACTTATGACTTGTCTCCAGGTGTCATACAAAGTCTCCCTCCCTGATGGTCAGCTGCAGACCTTCAGGCCACTCTCCGCAGTGGCACATTGGTGTGGCTGCTCAGAGAGTTCACACCATAAATACTCTAGTGTCTTAGTTTGGGTTTCTCTTGCTGTGATGAAACACCAAAAAAGCAAGTTGGGAAGGAAAGGGTTTATTTGGCTTACACTTCCAAGACAGGAACTCAAGCACAGCAGGAACATGGAGGCAGGAACTGATGCCGGGGCCATGGAGGGGTTCTGCTTACTGGCTTGCTCATCATGGCTTACTCAGCTTACTTTCTTATAGAACCATGTACCAACAGCTCAGGGATGGCACCAGTGCAATGGGTTAGACCCTCCCCATCAATCACTAATTAAGAAAACTGCCCTACAGGCTTGTGTACAGCCTGAACTTATCGAGGCATTTTCTTAATTGAGGTTCCCTCCCCTCAGATGACTCTAGCTCATGTCAAGATGACATAAAACAGTCCAGCACACCTAGATGGGATTTAGTTTTAAAGCATGACCTCTCAGGCATCTAGCACAGAAATATATCATAAAGGCACAGCAGTAAGTTTGGTAGTCCACCTGCTAGAGCAGCCCTGAGCTGGGCTCTCTCTGTGCACATTGTCTTTTGAACAATCCTGGGTGATGCAGCCTTTCCTTTTCAGCGGTCCTAAGAGTAGCTGGTTCCCTGCAAAAGAGCACAGAAGTGATGAAGGCTATGCAGAGTCTTGTGAAGATCCCAGAAATCCAGGCCACCATGCGGGAGCTGTCCAAAGAGATGATGAAGGTGACTGGGCTAGTTCTGCTTTCTCTCCAAACCACTGAGCGGTCTTCTGAGCTGGGCTGGGGCTGGGGCTGTGTGGGTGTGACTGGAGAGAGTGTGGCTGCTCCACCAGTGTTTTGAAAAGAGGAGCAGATGTTACCTGGTTGAAAGCATTTTTGTGCAAAGCATAGCAGAGGCTGGGTGAGATTGTAAGCACAAGCATACCTATCTCCAGAGGGAAGCGTCCAGTGATGGGGTCTGTGGGCTCCAGCAGGAGGGGAAAGACAAAGAAACACTCATGTCACTGTCTGCCCTGGGGGTGTTAGAGAAGCTGCAAGGGAGGTGATTGCATTCTCTACAATGCTAGATGACAAATACATGCCACACCTTGATGGCCATTCTTGTACCACTCAGCTTTGCCTGTCAGTGTAAAAGCAGCCCTGAATAGCATTTAAATGAAATGACGGTGGCCCAAATCCTTTGTTTAGGAAACCCCAGATCTGCCCTACAGGCTGTAGTTGTTGATGCCTTTTTCACCACAGAAAGGAGAGGCTGAAACCAAATGGAAAGTATATAGATAGTTCCCTGTCACCCCCAGAATAGGGTGTGGCAGGAACTACACTAGTGGTCTGCAGAAAGGGCCAGGCATCAGAGAAGGCCATGGTTACTGAACTACAACTGATAGCATGTGGCATTTTGGCTTGTCTTGTTCTCCAGGTACTCTGTTGGGGTATTTTACACAGGGCATTGAGTCTTGAAGCTGCTAGGCAGCCCAAGGTCTCTTGGGTTTAAGTAAGGCTTGAGCTGAACCACAGATGTGTCTGCCTTCATCATCTGAGCTGACATCTTGCATGAGTGTTGTTTCTTAGACCTATGATCTGACAACCAAGAGTATACAACTCAAATTCCTGTGTGTGGCTCTCTTACCTCCCAGAGTGTTATCTGTGAATGTAACCATACAATGGGCAGGCAAAGTGGGTGTGCAGGGTCTGAGAAGAACAGATAGGAAAATATCATAAAAGCCCAGGGGGCAGCTCTTTAGAAGAAAATGCTTGGGCAATATCAACAGGAAATGGATCAGGAGGGTGTGTTTTTTATATCTGGTATTCACTCAGGCTGGATATCACTATGCATTAATTCCTGGAGTGACTCCAAGCCTGCACGTTTTAACTTAGGTAGCCACCAAAGTATGAATGAATGAGTCACTAAGACAAAAACAAACCTCTAATCTCTTTTTCATAGTGGTTTATGAACACTAAAAGTATGATTTGAAGGAAGCTTTTGTATTGTAGTTCTAAGGACTGAGTGCTAATAGTGACACACGATCAGGTGTGCATTAAGGCTGTCCATGGTGACTCAGGTCTGAAAGAGTGGGGACGTATTCTTAGACTTCGAATTTTCTCCCAGTGCCTGGCTCTGTTGCACAGGCCAGGAATTTAATGAATGACTGCTGATTAAATGAACAAATTGATAAATGGAAGCGTCTGTCTCCAGAATGACGAGGGCAGTTACAGTTTGGATTCTGCTAAGTTCTTTTAACCAATCAATAATTATTTATTGATATTCTTTTTTTGTTTGTTTGAGTTTTTGCTTTTACTTAGTCTGTGGGGTTTTGTTTTGTTTTGCTTGAAACAGGTACAAACAATCCTCATGCTACAGCCTCCCAAGTGTTGTTTATTGGCCGGTAGACTCCAGCATCAAAATAATTTCCAATTAGCAAGGCTGTAGGGCTCCACCTTGGTGACCATGACATGAGATTGTTCATTTGGGTAGGGAAAGGGGCTAAAATTGGGCTAAGCACTAGCTAGATCCATGTCATGGAGAGCTACCTCGAGTCAGGAAGCATGAAGACTAGAAGATAAGTGGGTTACTGGGACAGGAGCGAGGCCAGAGCTGCCACTCCCCTCCCCCATCCCCCGCTGTGCAAAGAAGCCATGCCTCTTGGTTTGCAAGGGTTCTAGGGTTCCTTCCTGGCTGCTTGTCTGGGACTACTTTCTGACATGGGAGGGTGCGTTTTGACCCTTTGCTCTGCTAACAGACACAGAGTGGCCCCATCTGGAGCTGGGAACACTTTTTTTGTTTTGTTTTTCAAGACAGGGTTTCTCTGTGTAGCTTTGGAGCCTATCCTGGCACTCGTTCTGGAGACCAGGCTGGTCTCAAAATCTCAGAGATCCGCCTGCCTCTGCCTCCCGAGTGCTGGGATTAAAGGCGTGCGCCATCAACGCCTGGCTAGCTGGGGACACTGTTAAGGATAATTGCAGAGCTTTGGAGAGATTTTTGTTTGTGCCTCACAATGGTCCCTTGCTATTTTCTTTTAAAAAGTGTGTGTGTGTGTGTGTGTGTGTGTGTGTGTGTGTGGGAGAGAGA